AGTCATCTACTGGTCATCTCCTGGCCCTAGGGTCCAAGGACAAGACTAGCTTTGCTCTTTTAGCAGTTCTGCAGCTGCTGTGGGACACTTAAGTCAGAATCCTGTTTTAAACCACCTAGTGTGCATTTGCACTTCCTTGTTGGTATGGTGGTGACAGTGGCATGTTCATCTCTGTATCTGAGCGTGCCCTTTTGGCAAATGGGCTGCTGGAGTGCTCACTGGCTTCTTTTTGGGAGAGATTTAGAGAGATGGAACGAAGTCGGCCAAAACGCTAAGCTACATCTCTGTATTTCATGTGTATGATGCCTTTCTTCTGCTGGACCAGGTATTAGCAGATGCTGTGACAGGTGCCCTCCCCATGCATAGCCTCAGGGATTTAATTGAACAGGGCTGTTTTTCTAATTGGTAATTCTGCTCTGGCTGGGGCGATCTGGATGCTCAGGGACTTCAGGATGTGGTTTGTTGCTTAGTGAGTGACAGCGTGAGTTTCTGATGCCCTCCTACCCCTCAGTAACTGCCTGCTTCTCTCTCTCGCTCTCTGCCCAGCTCCAGTTTCCCATTTGGACGCCGCCACCTCCGTTCCAGCCCTAGCCCTGTCATTCTGAGGCAGCAGGAGGAAGAGGCCAAAGCCAAAGAGGCCGCCACAACTGTGGACATCACGCAGGTTATGAGCAAGCTGGATCGCAGGAGCCAGCTCCAAAAGGACCCTCCCAAGTAGGCTCTGAGCCCTCCAGGGCACAGCACAGGGAAAAGACAAGCTGAGGCTGGTGTTGAGCTTCATCTCCCCTTCCTGAAGGTGTCAGTGCTGCTTTATGTTTGCCAGGCCCGCTCTGCCAGCAGCCTGCTTGCTGCATGTTGCCATGGCATCTGGAGCAGCAGATGTAACTTCCCAGGCACGTTAGGCATGGAAGTGCTGCTGGAGCCAGGTGGCTGGCTGAGCAGGAGCCCTGGTGCAGGCCCCAGCTCCCCTCCCTGCGCACTCCAGAGGGGGATGTTTTCCAGCTTCCCTGAGCCCCCAGGTGCCCTGGCCACCTCTCCACTTCTGCTTTGCTGCCGAAAGTCCAGGAGCTGGGGTGGCACAAGGCAGGGTCAGGTTCTGCTCCTTCTGCTGTCCCAGTCCTTTGGGTTGAAATTGGCCTTATCCAGAGCAGAGGTGGATGACCCCACTGGGAGCAGAATGAGGCAGCCCACCTCGGAGCAGGACAGTATGGGCATACGTCCCCTCAGGAGGTTGCATCACGAGCAGCTCACTGCAGAGATAGACAGCCCTGATGCCTCTCCAAGTATCCTGCGCCTGCTAAACAATGCAGGAGCCAAAGACAGAACAGTGGGGAAGACTTCCAGTGAGAACAATATAATGAGTGTTTCCAAAGGTTTGGGTGGCCCTCAGGTTTAATGACGCTCCCAAGTCCCCTCTTTACCTTGGAGATAATTAGTAGAAACCTCAGGTTTCTCCACCTGTTGCTCTTCCTCATGATGAGCTAGGTGTGCAGGCTTAGAGAGCAGTCCTCTTGCAAGAGCCTGTAGAAGGGCTTCAGAGATGCAGCCAAGGCTTTGTGTTTCTTTTTCAAATCCCTTCTGACTCGTCTTGTCGTCGTCTTGCTCTTCTATTTTGTGCTTTTAAAAAAAAGCTAACATGGGGTAGTTGCAGTTGCCTAGTTGCCAGTGGTTTGTAGCCCGGAGGCAAGGAAGAACCAGGGCATGGGCATTAAGAGCTGATTTCAACTTTAAGTAGCATTTTTTTTTTTCTTTTGCTCTTTCAAATGCAGAAACCTAAACAACTGATTTAGTGTTAAAGAACTCGGGGAGATTCCAGGCTTTGCTGGGAAGCCCCTGTATGTCTGGACCAGGCCCATGATTACCAGAAATAAGATTCCCACAAAGCCCAGTAAAAGGAATTGGGAGGCAGAAAAGCTTCCTTGTTTGTTAGAATTTAGGAGAAGCAGAGGGACTGGGTGGGAAGCACTTGAGGCACAGGAAACTTGGTAAGTCCTTCTGTTTGTCTTGTTCATCCATCGTTCCTACTGGGATGATTTTGCAGCAAATAGCAGGTACAGAAAGCTGGATACGAGTGGGAACTCTCAGGTATCAGGGTGTATAGGATCAGCCACTCACTAACAGGGAAATAGTTGAGTGATAGCTAGGTCCCTAACAGCTTTGAACAGTAATTCTTGCCCCTCTCTCTACGTGTTATCAGAGTCAGAATCAGGGCTATATGGTCACTGCAAAACTTGTCTCCTTCACTTTACAGCTGAGCTAAGGTGATTTTCATGACCTCTTTTAACCTAATGAGGATAAATCTTCTTAGAGGAATTGAAACCATGCTGCATGAGTCTTACTCTGATGTCAAGGACTGCTTGCCAAGTCTCTGTTCTTGTTCCCAATGGAAGCAATGGCAAATTTTGCAATGCCATAAAGGGAAGCAGGCTCAGAACATACTTTTTTTTTTTTTTTTTTAATTCTGCTTGCAACAGCAAGGCTTATTTATGTGAGATATTGAGCACTATCAACCTACCTTGACGTAAGGGTACTGAAGGATACTCGGAGCTTGACAGGGTTGGTCCAAAGCTGTTTGGATGCAGTGAGCTGTTCAGTCTCTTCAGAATCTGTGTAGCACTGGGCAGGCCGGGATTGCTAGTATGTAATAACATATGGAAGATCAAATCAGGATATAAATAACAAATAACCTGTGTTTTCCAGTCACTTGCTGTGATTCCACTTTTCTGGCTTTTGTTTTTTATTTCTACCCATTCCTTTCCCTAATTTTATCATCTCAGCTTTGCATAGTTGTCCCACTTTCATGGGTTAATGTTGCATGCTCTGGTGTCTCTGTGCTTATGAAAGATCAGTCCTACCCTTGCAGGCAAAAGCTGGCTCTGTTCTGCTTATGGGCTGAATAAGCTGGTGTGACCCAGCATACTACTTGCTCTCTTGCTGCTTGTTCCCTCTGAAGAGTGCCCGTGGTACAAATTGAACTTTACTTTGTGTCAGGCAAGAAATGATTTGTTTCCATTGGAAATCAGAGCAATATGTTGTTTCATTTCTTGGCCATCACTTCCATGCATTCATTTGTCTAATAAAAATAAATGTAGAGAACGAAAAAAACTGAGTTCATCCTTCTCTGTTGTCTCAGTGTGTTCATCCTTCACAGTGTCATCTCTTTGCCATGCATGCATGTATTTTCTGTGTATGCCTCTTTGGACACTTGGGATTCATTTCTTTTCTGCTGGTAGTGTGTCCTTGGGAAATGGGTGGGAGACCCTACTGTGCACCATGTACTCTGCTGATGCATCTGTACTCCAGCTTGTCCTGAGGGCTCTTGGGGCTGAGCCTGGGATTTCACTGTGCCAGCTAGAGGCAGTGGGGGCTGTAGCGCAACGTGTAGCATCTTGTATTATTAATCATTGGGGTTCTGAGCTCAGCGTCCTGTTCCTGTTCCGTGACCACCCCAGCACATAGCACGTTGGTGCTTTGGGTTTACCGTGGTTGGCCATTTATAACTGAGCTTATGCTCTCAAAAGAGCAGACTCTGTGCTTAGAGCTAATTTTTGTAAGGAATTAGACAAGCTGATCTCTTACACCAACCTGTCCTGTTCACTGAGGCCTGTAGCAATGGTCCTCTTGCTTTCCATGGGCAAATCACCGCACTAATGCCCTTTCTCATAGAGGGTGCCCACCTAAGGGGCATAAGTGTCTGTGTTGTGGGGCCAGAAATCTTCTTGACCCTGGACAAGTCCCTTCTCTGTGCCTCATTTGCCTGAAGAAGTTACTATTTTCCCCTTCCCCTCTGCAGTTGGAGGGTGAACAGTGCCGCACCACGCGTTGGCCCCCACCCCGAGTCTTCTGTGCTTTGGGGGTTGGACCGAGGTGTGAATTTCCCAGCTTGAGCCCTAAAGCTGGTCTCGCCCTCCAAAGCCAGGGCTTGGATTCAAACCTTGCAGGCAGCTCCCAGCCTGGTGGATATCACTGATGGCTTCAAAAATGCTGGCGCTCAACCAGGTCTGATATGACCCTGAGTGCAGCGGCCTGTCAGGAGGAGGCACCACGAGCTGGTCTTGCGCCTGTCCCCTCCTTTGGAGGAAGCTGCGTCCCCATGTCTGTCCTCACCATCTGGCTGAGGAGCCAAGCTGGATGCGGCCAGGAGATGCCCAAGGCGGAGGCCACCGCGGGCCCG